TTAGCTGTATGTAGTCTGTGGTTAGTTACAAATTAACAAGAAAGTTGGATTTCGAAAATGAAGCATTGCAAAGAAATAGTAGTATATACAGCTCCTCCCACTTCCGACAGAGTTGGGACCAAATCCAGGTCGTAAGTCAAAAAATACTAAATACATAGAAAATCTAAAATGGGTGTCTCTTTTTTCTTCTCAGCACCAAGAAAACTCTTTTAAGCTTGCCAGCCATTTTAAGAGTGAATTGCAAACGAAAATTTTGTCAGTACACAAGCGCAATCACTGATTTTGGGACTCAAAAATATGTAATTTGACAAAATTTTGGTACGACTGAAATTAAGCATGTCTAGGGCGGTGGTAAGACTGGGAGGAGCTGTACAGTAGTTGGAGATGACCACATGGGCTGCACTGCAATACATCTTGTTCAATAAATTTGTTCAGTAAGATCTTGTGTTTGGGAGTAATATACAGACTGGAAAAATTGTGCCAAATTCAAACTCGCCAGACACTAATACATAAACTAATGGGAAAAATAACAATATAGACTGGCCACTGTACATCAACCTCTGATTTTCCCATTTATAACCTCCAAATGATACAAATTCTGCCTTTATTGACCTGATTGTGCTTTCTGGAAACAAGTTTTTAGGCCTTCCTCAAGTAACTTAATCACACGCTGCTTATCCTGCATCTAGTACTTGGCAAACTTACTAACTCCCTTATGATGTCCCGCTTCTCCTTTTACTTCTCTGGCTGCTTAGGTGGGTCTGTCCCACCCCCACCAGTAGGACCCCCAGTAGAGGTAGAGGCCATTATCTTGACTAGACAAGTGGTAGCACCACCCAAAAAAGCACACAATAACAGCCCGGGCTGTCGGTAGGATGGCGCGGGCTATAACGCGATAGTTGTGTTCTTATAAACCTCTTTTACGTTCACCACCGGCAATTTGATCACCAGAACGCTTCTTGGAAACATTCTTCTTACCTTGTCTTCCCGTATTCATTGCGAACACTACAAAATTGGAGAAAATAGCAAAAATCACAGAGTAATTGACAGAAACAGCGCGATTCAACTGATCACGTGATGAAACCAGAGAGCGCTGGTGTAAACCGTTATTAGTCCTCACTGTGAAACATTCTATTTACTTATTCTTTTCATACAGTATTTATGGGTAACAGCTAAATTTGCATAAAAAAGAACAAAATTTACAGTGTCTTTCTCAAAAAACACTTCACAAACAAAAGACATGAGTCAATTGAACATGTGATGTCGAATGTGAACTGTACATATTGCATAACCCCCGCACCACGCTTAAAACGTTGAGGATGGAATCGTGCTATAGCCATCATTCGTATGCAAAAGTTGGCGTTTTACAAACAGCGTTCCCCTATTCATCAATCGCGTAACAGCCAATTCACATTGACAAAACACGAGTTGTAGCAGAAATGACTGTAACTGATATGAGGGCTGTGACGTCATTCAAGACGGTGGCCAGCGTTCAGCTGGCTGGATCTAGCGAAACTCACAATATTTTACGCCAAATATATGACTTGGTTACATTAGGTAGTGCTCGCGAAATTCAAGAACGCAAAATGAAATGGCGTGAAATAAGAGATGTTACTGTATGTGAAACTATAAGTGTTAGTATCAGAGGCATAATTAATAACAATTGTATAAAGTAATCAGTTATACTGTACAGTAATAATGAGGAACAAAAATTGATACTAATTTCAAAACCTGATAAGGAACAAACTTGACGTAAGGAATGTGAAGATGTTTTTACAACCTTAGTCATCATGAGAAATGTCAATTTCTATATTATTTATACAATAATTGTGGGTTATGTTGAGTAAATCCTGGACCACTCCTGACCAGCCGTCCTTGTCCAAGCCTTCTTCTACCAAAGATGGTACTTTAGTCACATCTAATTTTTCTGCAGCTGTCACAAGGTGTTGAAGGAGGTGACCTATTCCAGCACCCTGATGGAGACATGCTGCACTTTTGTTGTCTGGAAAAGAGAAACATTTAAGAGAAAGAGAGATAAACAACTTTAATTTTGGCATGATTCTGCTTCCTTGGGTGACTGAAACAACTTAACATTTGCCATGTACAATATAAACATAATTGAAAATTACATTTGTTTAAGGTTTAACTTTTTGACAGCAAGAGGTCAAAAATACATAAAGTGAGAGCGATCTGTTGCAACATTATTAATATAGCCATCTTCTGTGAATGTCCCAGCGAAGATGGAGGGGAAGGGTGGATTTAACTTGAGAGGATCTTGCGCTCCTGTTACCATTCTCATGCTTGGTGGTGTATGAGATTCTTGAAGAAATTCATTGTAAAGCTGAGATGCAGTTGTGTAGTGAACTCCTGGAGGCAACTTTGTATCAGGCCTGAAGAAGCATCCATTGTATAGTACTTCATTTTGCAAGACTTAATTGTTATACAATTATAAAAAATATGAGCTTGATCATATAAATGGAGAAGCAAATCTAAATAAGCAAAGAACCGATTCAAATTACTGAGTTTGTGGAACTAAAAAGTGCCCACGAATATGGAGTGATTTTTTCTCAAGCTGCTATACGATAGAGTAATAATAATAATAATAATAATAGTTGCCCCTCGTGTAAGGAGGATGGCCGGCCCAAGGGCCACCTAGGCGTGAATTTGTTTAAGGTGTAGAAGCTGTCGCCAACACAACAATCACACCCTAAGTTAACGAGCTGCGTGACCCAGTGTCGAGGAATAGTCCGAGAAGACCGGACAACTCGCCAACTACACTGGCTAACCATTACCCTGGAAGACAATCCGCAGATCGATTAACATCCAGGTTCCCAATTACTGCTGGGTAGACAGAGGCAAATGGCGTGAAGAATCTTGCCCATAGTTTCACCCTGGCTGGGGATCAAGCCCTGGTCCTATCACTTGTGAGGCGAGGATGCTGACAGGAGCACCCACCCTCTCTCTCACTTCACCTATTGTCATTCATTTGTTTTCCTGCTGCAAAGATTGAAGAGTTTATATACCGGTAGTTTCCTTGATTCTTCTTCTGAAAGAACCATTTTATGATACTTTAATCAATGGTTTAGTCAAATATTACTGTTAATCCTTGCTTCTCTATTGAAAAATAATAATCCTGTAATTGTTTGACTAGCCCAAGCAAATAAGGAAAATGTTTGCAAACTGTAGATGATAATTTAATCATGTTGTTGTATATGAGCTGAAAGGATACACTTCCTCTTATATAAGGGTGCCTGACATGTCTGTGGCCACTTCTTCATGTGAACAAAATCACTCTTGTAGGGATGGGCACATCTTTTAATCTTGTCGGAACATTACTAGCCTGTCTGAGGGCTGGGAAGTTTGCTAATAGGCGTGACCTGATTATTTTAACCACTTTCTCGCATTCAGCATGAGTTAAAGAATTTGGGGTCCAGTTTAATTTCCTACTTTAGTAGAGATGATGTATGTTGTAAACACCTTTTTTAATGGTCTCCAAGTTCACAAATTTTAACTGTAGATGTGGTACCTATATTTACCCAAGGGATTTTACACATATTGTAATCATCAGTTCCCAATTTCTCACCATTCGAGATGATGCTCTACAGTACAGTATTAAAGGCAGCATCACACCAGCATTTCTATTGTCAACTTTTTCATTACTGTCGGCTTTGTTGTTGGCTTTTTGTCACACGGTAGAGACCTTCTGCTCGTACAACTCATTATGCCAGGCTTATGTGCATTAAATGGTTTGTCCAACAATGACACACTTATTCTAGTAAAATGGAGTAATTTATATTTGTTGAAGGATCTTACATTTCGTCCTCCTGGAGACAACATATGAAAGTGGCCCTGGGGGTGACTGCGGTACTAAACTTGCAGTGTCCACAAATGCTGCCATCACACTACTGGTGATATATAGATTATTTTCCTGGAAGCATAAGAAAAATTATGATAACATCTACATAACAGAAAACAATTGTCAAATACGTACTGTACGATATTAATACAAACTTCCTTCTATTTACAAATACTCTACTGTATATGTTTACAGGTTTTCTGTTACATATTAAATTCTGTTGAAATTTGGTAGACAGAGGCACAGCCTGGCGAGCTGGTCTCTCGACGTGACTTTAAAGCATCGTGCCGGGCTGTGAACTGGGCTGTACTCTCTTGAGTCTGGTGCCTGGAGAGTAACCCATCCTTTAACACAGACATCAAAACAGGCCTACTCACACACGGAGGGTTGAGTCTGTGGGTTTATGGGCTGTACAGTATACCCGAGAAGGTGTGATATAACAAATGTTTGTGCTGTCCACCCTAGGAGGGGTGACAGAACAAATCCTTATGTAGCTGTATGCTCAGTAGTCTGGGTGATAGAACGTATATAATGAATATATGTCCTTGGCCCATATTTATATAATATTAATGTGACAGAGGCTAATACAAGATGAAAATGAAGCAGATTTTCCAAAATTCCGAGAAAATTTTTCCAATGCCTGGAAAATTCTGGGGATGGCATATATTTTTCCCAGGTTCAAGAGATGGTGTAATGGGCAATTTCTGGAACTTTCGAGAATATTTTTCCATTACACGGAAAATTCCTGGGTTGAGGGATTTTTATTTCCGGCTCTGAGAGAGTCGTGTCGTTTCCAGAAAATCTCTCATTCTCGGAAGTGGTCTGCGCCGATTGCTCCGGCTAATGTATATAACACTGTACGTATTAGTATTATTTTGCTTCATTCCTCACATTTACAGAGTAATACATTAGACCACAGAGGGATAAAATGCCACACTAATCTATGGATACTTTAAATTCAATGCTGTGGTTGGTATAGTACTGTACAGTAAAATACCTGGATACCCAGCATCTGTGGTTGACAAGGGTCTACTGTACCTGCATTGTGTATATACACTACACTAAAGTAATGCTGAAACAATTGTAAACTTGTATGAAGATTTTGCTGAATTATCTGTCTCTAATATTCATAATGGTAAAATATTTCTTTATATTTTTTACAGGAAGCCAGACAAGTGGACGAAGATATTTTACACAAATTGCTGAAGAAGGTGTCACCCTCAGCTTATAAACACTTAGTAAGCTTTGTTTTAACTACAGTATATAGTGTCACCCTCAGCTTATAAACACTTAGTAAGCTTTGTTTTAACTACAGTATATAGTGTCACCCTCAGCTTATAAACACTTAGTAAGCTTTGTTTTAACTACAGTATATAGTGTCACCCTCAGCTTATAAACACTTAGTAAGCTTTGTTTAAACTACAGTATATAGTGTCACCCTCAGCTTATAAACACTTAGTAAGCTTTGTTTTAACTACAGTATATAGTGTCACCCTCAGCTTATAAACACTTAGTAAGCTTTGTTTTAACTACAGTATATAGTGTCACCCTCAGCTTATAAACACTTAGTAAGCTTTGTTTTAACTACAGTATATAGTGTCACCCTCAGCTTATAAACACTTAGTAAGCTTTGTTTAAACTACAGTACATAGTGTCACCCTCAGCTTATAAACACTTAGTAAGCTTTGTTTAAACTACAGTACATAGTGTCACCCTCAGCTTATAAACACTTAGTAAGCTTTGTTTTTAACTATATTGTGTCACTCTCAGTCCTGATGTTTTGGTTTGTTTGTTACAGAAAAAACACAAGATTGAGCCAGTGTTGTACATGACAGAATGGTTCATGTGCCTTTTCTCAAGAACTCTGCCGTGGTCGTCTGTTCTCAGAGTGTGGGACATGTTTTTTTGTGAAGGTGAGTGCTCCTTTATTTCTCTCTCTTCTGAAGTGAAGCGGCTATTTATTGGATTACTGTGCGTACTCACACATTGTTTCTTGGTTAGGTTATGTTAGGTATTTGCACACATAAAGACACTCTCACACATTGGTTACAGGAGAAAGACAGGAATTCAGAGGAGAATGACGAGACTAATCCTGGGCATTAGGAACCTTGAGTACAGAGACAGGTTAAAGCATCTTAATTTGCACTCCCTCGAGAGACATAGAGTGAGGGGCGATATGATAGAGGTGTATAAATGGAAGTCGGGGCTAAACAAAGGTAATATTACAAAGGTACTCAAACTATCCAACCCGGAGCAAACTCGTAACAATGGTTTTAAATTAGACAAATTTAGATTTTGGCGCGAAATAGGTAAACACTGGTTTGGAAAGAGAGTAGTGGAACAAGTTACCAAACATCATCATTAACTCTAATACGCTGGATAGCTTCAAACATAGGTTGGATGGATATATGAGCGATAGGGGTTGGGTGTAAATGGGACTACCCAGTATGGCCCGCTGTAGTTTCCTCCATTCTTATTCCACGTTGGTCTGGTTAGGTTATGTTAGATGTTTGCACATATAAAGACTCTCACACATTGTTTACAGGTGTTAAAGTGTTGTTCCGCGTTGGTCTGGTTATCCTCAAGTATGGGTTGCGGCCACAGGTGCTCAAGCGGTGCCCAGGCATGTACGAGACACTTCAGGCGCTGCGTAATATTGACCACGGTGTGATGGCTGAGGGCTTCCTCCTCTTTCAAGTGAGTGACAAATTCTTCATGGGTAGTAGATACTTGTTATACATCATCACCTTCATTATCATCATCAACATTGTCATCATCATCATCAACATTATCATAATAATTATACATGTTTATATTGTAAATATTTATATAATGTAGTATACAGTTATTTTATTCTTTTACAATAATTTATTATCATTAATTACAATGTTTGTTTAGGCAATTATTAAAAGTTTATCATTTAGAGAGTAGGTTTATTTATTGTGTTTGTGACTAACTTGAGATGTACCATTACTGTAGGTCAGGGGTTCTCAAACTTTTTTCAACCAAGGACCCCTTCTATACCATGAGGACCCCTTATATACCATGAGACCCTTATATAACGAGGACCTATACACCATGAGACCCCTTATATACCATAAGGAATATACCATGAGGACCCCTTATATACCCATGAGGACCCCTTATATACCATGAGGACCCCTTATATACCATGAGGACCTTATATACCATGAGGACCCTTATATAACAGGACCCTATATACCATGAAGACCCCTTATACACCATGAGGACCCCTTATACCATGAGGACCCCTTATATACCATGAGGACCCTTATATACCATGAGGACCCCTATATAATACATGAGGACCCCTTATATACCTGAGGACTTTATATCATGAGGACCCTTATATACCATGAGGACTTATATACCATGAGACCCTTATATACCATGAGGACCCCTTATATACCATGAGAACTTCTATATAATGAGGACCCTTTATATACCATGAGGACCCTTATATACCATGAGGACCCCTTATATACCATGAGGACCCCTTATATACCATGAGGACCCTTTATATACCATGAGGACCCTTATATACCATGAGACCCTTATATACCATGAGCCTTTACTCAGGACCCTTATATACTGACCCTTATATACCATGAGGACCCTATATACCCTGAGGCTTAAAAGACCCCTTATATACCATGAGGACCTTATATACCATGAGGACCCCTATATACCATGAGGACCCCTTATATACCATGAGGACCCTTTATATACCATGAGGACCCCTAATATACCATGAGACCCTATATACCATGAGGACCCTTTATATCCTGAGGACCCCTTATATACCATGAGGACCCTATACCCAGACCCTTATATACCACAGGACCCTTATATACCATAGGACCCTAATAACGAGGACCCCTTTATATACCCTGAGGACCTTATATACCATGAGGACCCCTTATACAACCTGAGGACCCCTTATACCATGAGGACCCCTTATATACCATGAGGACCTTATATACCATGAGGACCCCTTATATACCATGAGACCCCTTATATACCATGAGGACTTCCTTATATACCATGAGGACCCCTTATATACCATGAGGACCCCTTATATATGAGACCCTTATATACCATGAGGACCCCATATACCATAAGGACCCCTTATATACCATGAGGACCCCTTATATACCATGAGGACCCCTTATATACCATGAGGACCCCTATATACCATGAGGACCTTTATATACCATGAGGACCCCTTATATACCATGAGGACCCCTTATATACCATAGGACACCTTATATACCATGAGGACCCCTTTATATACCCTGAGGACCCCTTATATACCACGAGGACCCCTTATATACCAGAGGACCCCTATATACCATGAGACCCTTATATACACAGAGGACCCTTATATACCATGAGGACCTTATATATGAGGACCCTTATACAACATGAGGACCTTATATACCATGAGGACCCCTTATATACCATGAGGAACCCTTTATATACCATGAGACCCCTTATATACCATGAGGACCCTTTATATACCATGAGGGACCCTTATATACCATGAGGACCCCTTATATACCCTGAGACCCCTTATATACCATGAGGACCCTTTATATACCATGAGGACCCATATATACCATGAGGACCCTTATATACCATGAGGACCCCTTATATACCCTGAGGACCCCTATAACCTGAGACCCTTTATACCATGAGCGACCCCTTATATACCATGAGGACCCTTATATAACCCAGGACCTTATACTGGAGAGACTTTATATACCAGGATTAATACCCTGAGGACCCTTATATACCCTGAGGACCCCTATATACCCTGAGATTATATACCATGAGACCCCTTATATACCAAATGAGGACCCTTATATAACCTGAGAACTTATATACCATGAGGACCCCTTATATACAGAGGACCCTTATATACCCTGAGGACCCCTTATATACCCCAGAGGACCCCTTATACTATATGAGACCCCTTATATAACCTGAGGACCCTTATATAACCTGAGAGGACCCCATATACCATGAGGACCCCTTATATACCAAGGACCTTTATATACCATGAGGGACCCCTTATATACCATGAGGACCCCTTATATACCATGAGGACCCCAGTAGAGGACCCTTATATACCCTGAGGACCCTTATATACCATGAGGACCCGACTTATATACCATGAGACCCCTAAACCAGAGGACCCTTATATACCCTGAGGACCCTTATATACCATGAGGACCTTATATACCATGAGGACCCCTTATATACCCTGAGGACTTATATACCTGAGACCTTATATACCCTGAGGACCCCTTATATACTAGACCCCTTATATACCATGAGGACCCTTATATACCATGAGGAATTTATATCACCACGAGGACCCCTAATTTAGACCCTTATATACAGAGGACCCTATAGGACCTTATATACCACGAGACCCCTTATATACACAGAGACTAAATACCATGAGGACCCTTATATACATGAGGACCCTTATATACCGAGGACCTTACATAACCTATAAGAGGACCATCATACCATGAGACCCCTTATATACCATGAGGACCCTTTATATACCCCTGAGGACTTTAATACTGAGACCCTATATACCATGAGGACTTATATACCAGAGACCCTTATATACCATGAGGACTCTTATATGAGACCCCATATACCATGAGGACCCCTTATATACCATGAGGACCCTTATATACCATGAGAGACCCCTTATATACCATGAGGACCCCTTATATACCATGAGGACCCTTTATATACCATGAGGACCCCTTATATACCATGAGGACCCCTTTATATATACCATGAGGACCCCTATATACCATGAGAATTTATATACCATGAGGACCTTATATACCATGAGGACCCTTAATAACCTATATACCATGAGACCCCTATATGAGCTTATACTATGAGGACCCCATATACCATGAGAATTTACACATGAGGACCCCTTATACCATGAGGACCCCTTATATACATAGAGGACCCTTATATACCATGAGGACCCCTATATACCATGAGGACCCCTTATATACCATGAGAACCCTTATATACCCTGAGGACCCCTATATACCAGACCTGAGGACCCCTATACTGAGACTTATATACATGAGGACCCAACTTTATATACCATGAGGACCTTATACCTGAGACTTATAAAGAGAACCCTTATATACCATGAGGACTTATATACCATAGAGAACCCTTATATACCATATGAGGACCATGAGACCCCTTATATACCCATGAGGACCTTATATACCATGAGGACCCCTTATATACCCTGAGGACCCCTTACATGAGACCCCTTATATACCATGAGACCCTTATATACCCTGAGGACTCTAATACCAAGAGGACCTTATATACCTGAGGACCCCTATAACCATGAGGACCCCTATATACCATGAGGACTTTATATACCCTGAGACCCTATATACCCTGAAGGACCCTTATATACCATGAGGACCCTTTACATACCATGAGGACCCTGATATACCTCCTGAGGACCCCTTATATACCCCTTGGAGGAATTTTATATACCCTGAGTGACCTTTATATACCCTGAGGACCCTCAAGGTACCCTGAGACCCTTATATACTTATAACTTTTTATATACCTTGAGAATTTTATATATATTTATGAGGACCTCTTTTATATACCCTGAGGACTTATATATACTATGAGGGCTTATATACCATGAGGACCCTCAGCCTATGAGGACCTCTTTTATATACCTTGAGACTTTATAACTTGAGGACTCTCAGATAAATTAGTGAGACTCTTGCAGCCCAGGAGGACTCATGAGGCAACTATGAGACCCCTTATAATTCTGAGGACCCTTATATACCCTGAGGACTGCTATATACCATGAGGCCTTTATATACTAAGGAGGACCCCTTTTATATACCATGAGGACCTTATATACCCTGAGTGACCCTTATATACCATGCGAGGAGACTTATATACTAAGTGAGGACTTTTATATACCAAGGAGGACTTTATATACCCTGAGGACTTATATATCAAGAGGACCTTTATATACCAGGAGGACTCTTATATACCATGAGGACCCTTTATAGAATTATGAGGACTTTTAGAGTCACTATGAGGAATTTTATATACCAGAGGACCTTATATACCCTTGGAGGACCTTTATATACCATGAGGACCCCTTATATATACCATGAGGACCCTTGCAACTTTGAGGACCCTTTATATACCTCTGAGGACCCTTTATATACCCTGAGGACCTTATATACCCCTGAGACCCCTTAAATACCAAGTGAGGACCTTTATATACCCTGAGGACTTATATGAATTTCTGAGGACCCCTTTACATACTATGAGGACTTTGGAGCAATTTTGAGGACCCTTTATATACCACAATGACCTTATATACTATGAGGACCTTTATATACCCTGAGGACCTTTATATAACCTGAGTGACCCTTATATACCTAAGAGACCCTTATATAACAAGGCACTTTATATACTAAGAGGACCCCTTTATATACCATGAGACCCTTATATACCAATATGAGGACCCCTTATATACCCCTGAGACCTTTATGGGCCTATGAGGACTCCCCTTATATACTAAGGAGGACTTTATATACCCTGGAGGACCCTCAGAGACTATGAGCACTTTTATATACCATGAGACCCTTATATACCATGAGGACCCTTCTATACCCTGAGGACCCCTTTATATACCATGAAGACTCCCTTATATACCATGAGGACTTTATATACCATGAGGACCCTTTAAATACCGG